CTATATTATTTTGAAGACATTTTAGCTATACTAATTAGGAAATACGTTACCAGGCATCGACTTTGACATACTCGTAGTAAAAACTTTAATCAAAAATCAGTATGATACGCATCCATTGTTAATGTTACACGTACTATTTACCTTAATTAGGAGATATGAACCTATATAGAATAATATCACATTTCAATCATATGTAAATATGAATATAATTATATTTACATTTGGCGTCATAAAATAAATACACAATGGAACCGACGGTAATGGACGTTGTTTGTCGGACCTGGATTTAATATCGCCGGGTAATAAAGCTGAAATGGAAAATATTTTCATTATCTGCCAACGGACGGAGGACCGGCGAACGGCTTCATACGAACATTGTCATATCCGAACTTTTTAATATCCGAGATATACTGTTGCATTGCAGATGATAGTTTTTGATGTGATATTAATAAAGGTAAAGGAAAACATGACGAAAACGGAAAAAAATTCATAATCAGCCTATTAATGTGCTGGAATATATTAATAGGTTGCTGTCCATATGGATAGATTATCAATTCGATTCCGCCATGCTAGTCCAGTGCGAATTGGTGGGTTATATCATCGACTGTGGCTGCAGTCAAGACTAATACGGAGGCTATACGGAGGAGTTGGAGATAACAAATGTTTGGTCACCCGACACACGACCAGCTCTTGTGAGAGTTGCTTAACTTCCACATCGTAATCTGAACGCATTAATCACTGCACCATCAAGCTCCATCAGCTATACTTAATTATTCTCAATAATGTTCTTAATTATGTGTTTCTTGTTATTCATAGCTCTTCACATACATAAAATCATGTTCATTTATTATCAAGATGAGTACCTAAAGCCCCCGTTTTATGGAGTAGCTGAGACGACGAAGGTACCACAACACCCAGACTCGAGACAATATAGAAAAGTTGATTTTCGAACCCGTGACCTCAGAGATGACGACATCTTGAAACCGGCGTGCGAACCACTTGAATACGGAGATGTCTTATATCACTTTTCAATAGCACGCTATCAATTAAAGAATGTCATTATTGTTTATCATATTGAAATCTAAGCGATCACTAATGTTTGTATCGTTTAACCCTGTTAACACCTTAGTGTGCATTTGAGCACAATGCAGTAATGTATTTTGCAACACCAGTCACTTTTCATAAGCGACTAATACGAGGATAGCGTGAAGGCTCCATTGGTTTGCTTCTTTGCAAGGCACGCCCTCTACTGTCACCGTGTAAAATGTACATTAAAGTTGAAGCAAACGTTTCATAAAATCATTTCAATCGCAAATTGTTTTAGTGACACATTAAAAAAGAATATCATGTAATGTTGTCTGGAAACTTTTGGAATATTCGTTCGAAATTAAAGGAAAGAAGTAAAAACGAAACGAGTATCATTTTTGGGTTAATCTTTTATTTTATTGTCGTTGGAAAACTACTATCCCCATAAATTATATAGGTCATGGTCAGTATAGCTACTGCAAATTAATTTATTAATTTGAATATTTCAACACAACATCGCATTTTGCATAGATTGCTTAAATTATTATAAAGGTTGCTAAATCATTTGTTTTATGGAGTATATGAAACAACAAAGGTACCACAACACCCAATCCCGAGACCATGTAGGTAGAAAAGTTTATTTTTTAAATTTTGGGATTGGAACCTCAGAGAAACCAGCGTTTTATTTTACATTATATAATAAAACGCTGGTTTCTCTGAGGTTCCAATCCCAAAATTTAAAAAATAAACTTTGGATGTTTGTTCTGTTCCAATTTTTCAACGAAAGGCAGAGCAACATATCAGCTCACTATTAAACATCAAAGTATTTTTCTATAAATGAAAAAACAATCGGAAGTTTGCAACTGAAGTTGCGTGTTGTTTCAAGTTGTTTACTCTACTTTTTATATCAGAACTCTATGGAGCATTCCGTGTTGGAAAATTAATAGGGACAACCCAAAGAGAAAGAGTAACGTTTTGATTGAAAAGAAGAATAAAAAATTTCAAGTTGATTTCGTAAATTTATTTTATTTCTTGATAATTTTATCCAATTCATTAACGTGCTATCGAAACTCGAGACTATATAACATATACTTATCATTTTTACAATATTCATCAATAGTTTGTTATTAAATATATCTTCTCATTAAAATGTTATTTTTAATATATGCCTTGTATTAAAATTAACATGTATTATTATATAAATACAAGCAATTTAATTTTAATATAATCTAAGAGGTGTTGAGGCACGAGAAAAAGTCAGCTATAATTTTGATGTACAGAAAAACGGATTTCCCTGACTAATTTGCAGGGTAATTTACCAGAAACTAACATTAGATATTGTTCAGATATTTGTACATAAAATATTTTTCATAAATTGATTACATCCACTCCACTCCGTCGATGTTCCAGTTGGCCCACTTCAGAGGATGAGTCACGACTGCATAGCTGATGGTGACTCACATAGTGCATACCGTCTAACTTTTTAGTAACGTAATAAAAGTAGGCTCAGAAGAATAATGGCTTCTCAATCTTATTTTAAATATTGATAAGAGAAAATTAACTTATACCCTGGATTAATCTAAAAAAATAAAAAAAGTTATTAACTTTATATATATTCTTCTATAAAGGAACAGTTTCTTCAAAGGAAAAATTAGATTTTTTGTTTTCATTAAAGTTTCGGAACTACTGGACTGTTTTTTTTTTATCTACGGGAAGCTAAATTATACGCGGGGGACATAGATATAATTTACGCAAACAAAGTCGCGGGAAATAGCAAGTTATAGATCCTAACCTGAAAGCTTTCACTAACATCTGATTGGGTAGTGAAATCAAAATTTAAAATGCATCTGATTCCAATTCCAAGTTATTTAGACTGTAGAATATTTTACATAATATAACACCAATGATATGTAGAGATAAGGAGATAATAACTCTATGCTACGGATAGGTCGAAATACGAGTATATCTGTTAGTTTAATAAAGTATAGTGATAATATTTTTAAAACCTCAAGTGCAAGTGAGAATTAGCATTGTTAATCAAAGGTTTATTTTTTCGTATTAACAAATAGCACTAAACGTGGTGCCAAATAATAATGATTTAAAATTATAAAAAATCCGTCAGTTTATAATGTCTCGTTAGATTATAATCTACCTACCATAAATTTGAGATAGGTTCGATTATAATTATTCTAGTAGTCTTTCATTAATAATAACCTAAAGAGTGTTTTGTGGTTCTGAGCGAGGGTATACTGCTGTATTACGAGTATACTGCGTTCAGCGTTACACCTGATGCAACTTGTGACAGTCATCGACCGCTCCGGTTCACGGTGCCGTGATTCATACCTGGTCTCCTGTATCGTTCATTAGGATGAAACTTCCTTGAAGGTTTCCGGATTGCTATAAAGTAATGGCGTACTACCCGAGTACAAAAACCAAGAGCCAAGAGGTTAATTTTCGTATTATATCAAAATAACGTCAAAGTTCTCTTAAAATAAAATAAAATCTCTCATAAAAATGCTTTATTTGATACAGTTTTCCTCCGGCTTCATCCACGTAATTGTAACGTATATCACTCGTATGTGATGTAGTTTGCCGTAGATGAGAGTTTAAAATCGGACCGGTAGTTACAGAGTGTATTCAAAGAAAACAAACATAAATGCAAACTAAAAAATAATCAAATCTTTCCTTTTATAACATTCGTTACGACTAATTCCATTATTTATTAGTTTTTATTTTTGAGATATATATACTTAAAAACATTTCAATTTTTTATTACAGGTTAGTTTTATATTCATAATAAATTACGTTGTACGAGTGCAGTGTATCTCCGGGTCATCATTACCAATTGTACACGTATTACTCATGGTCTTTGGAGCATGATCATCATGGCGGATATTAGCTGACTAATCGCATTCAGCTTTCATTAGGTGCAACCAAGTGTGAATTCTATACTAACAACATAAACGAGATCCGATAACAGAATTGTAATGTTTTCAGTGTTCGGTATAACAAACGAAAAAGTTTAATGTTTAGAGGATTATTGAGTTTTCTATTCGCCAGTCCGTCCGTCTCTAACAACATCTTGACATTTGCCAAAAACAATAAAACAACGAAAAGCATTAATTACTTTTGCCAAAATGCAGTGCATGATAATTATAATTAGAAATGCAACATATCGAATTCTACCTACTATATGTATTTAATATTTCATTTGACTATCACTCAAAAAGTATCTATAGGTATTATGAACTATTTATCTGTCATCATATTGATACATGGCAGAAACTACAAAAGCACTTGGTCAATTAATATTTTAGGGACGATATTTTTACATTTGAATATTCGCGTCTGTATTTTGTCTTAATTATTACTTACTAGCTTACTTGTATAATATAGCCTATACTATCCGCATAATAATAGCTGAGGTGCCGTAGGTAAAAGAATTTTTAAAATCACATCTGTAGTTTCAGAGTCTATTGAATGCAAATAAAGAAACAAATGTAACCTCTTTATTGTTTAGTTTAGATAAAGTAGGTAATATGTTTGCAAAATTAGATGTTTGCCGAATGATTAGTTTTTACAGAGTTAAGTTTGAGATGAATATTCTCTTTTTTGTATGAACATTACATAGGTTACAAATTCAATACTTGTTAGCTATGAAGAATAATAAGCATAAATATTAAATATAAACAATATCTCAACTATATTTTGTAGGCAAACAAGCACTAAGAAGTTCTAACAAACATTATTTCTGCATTTGCTCAGCTCTTGCTTTAAAGCCTCTACGTGGTTTATTCTTAATCAAAACAATATTCCCATAGACACATCCGACGGCTAACTGTCAATGACTATAGTGCAAACAATGAAACAATCTTGAAAAATTCAACTAGATAAAATATATATTTAAAACTACTTAATCACATTTTTACAACTTGAATTTCATTTTTGTCGGTAACATACGTTTCTTGCCCCAATCAAGGTTGTTTCCTGAAACAAAAAGAAAATAAAATTAATAAAGTACAAATCGAAAGACGTCGGTAATTGACCGTGTTGATGATAGTTCATTGATTCGTGGATCAGTCGATAAGAAAATCCGAGGATTATATTAATATCTCGGAAATGTATGACAAGCAAAGACTTCTTCTATGTGTACAAGGTCTTTGATGACAGGAGATATTAAAGTCCTGCCGATTCGGTTGTTGTGATTGGATTCCTTTAAATTGGTGATTTCTGATAAAAATATTCTTGATCGGTCCACTTTTTTAACATTATTAGTATGGCATATAAATAAAGTACGTAGTTGACAATATACTGATCAGTTTTTAGTTGATATTTAGGACATACCTACCTCATTTTGTATATTATATTTATCATGAGAAAAAGGGGAGTGTTAATTATGTTGCGTATCAATTTTCTAAACTTGATCAGTTTATGTGTAGTAGTAAGTAGTAGTTTATAATAATCAGCACCCATCCGACAGGTGAGTTAACTTATTTCTACTGCACGCATTTTACATAAAATATTAATCACAAAAACAGAACATTTACATTTTTTTTCCTACATAAAAAGACAATCAGTTGACAACCAATGGTACAGAGCATATCAAATAAAACTGCAACAAAGTCCAAAACCAATTTGGTCAACAATGGGCATTCGCAAGCCTATTGCCTCCAGCCCCATTGTCTAGCCTTCGAAACCAGAGCGAGAACGGCTAACAATTCCGCCAGTTTAAAATGTAATTGACACACGGCTAAATCTAAAAAAGCCATAGAAACTTCAAAGCGGCGTATGACTCACGAGCGATTGAAACGTTCGAAGCCGATGAAAATATTGAAAATGAAACAAACGATGCCCCGGCAGCTAGTAATGAAGTGGCATTTAAATATGGACTTTAACATGAAGCAATAGAAACAGTAACAGATTTAAATGCAAGTGTAAAAAGCTCTGTGGGTGGCGAAGACTGTATAGGCGGTGCGTTTGCAAACAACTAAGCGATTTCACATAATAATGGAAAGGAAGGCGGTGCTGACGGTAAACATAGACGTAGCAACTATAAAACTTACTCTGCGAACGTAACTGACCTTTCTAACGACAAAAACGATTCAAAGGAAGTGTCGTGCTGTTTTATAGAAATAGCAATTACGTGAACGCTGACCGTTTGGATGTCTTTTGTGAAGATTCATAATGGGGGTTGTAAACCGACTCTTCCTTCAGTTGCAACAGACAATAATGATAAACGAAGCCGAAATGCAATTGGAGACGAAATCGCTATTGTTGATTATTTCTAAAAAATTGATTTGAAATTTTATTTAATTCCTTATGGCTGTGATTTTTGATATTGTCATAAATACAAATAAGCCTTAAGTGAAATAGTAGTTAAATTAATATTATACAATTAAAACCAATAAAGTTATTATCGTTTTGGCTGTAAACAAAAATTTATAAAACGTTAATAATATGGAATTTGATACGATCATTACATTTTTTGGCTATTATAATTCAAAATGAAAAACTAATTAACAAAATGTTTATTTATTTTTACTACAGCTATAAGTTTTAGGTTGATTACCCACTTATTATATACCGCTATACCGCGTGTTTATCATTTTTCCCAGAGGTTGATTGGTAGAGAATGTTATAAGCATTAATTCTTGTTTGACCAACAAGAATTATGTAATAATTAAAATGAAATAAATCCCATTCAAAGGTAGTTCTTTAAAGAATTGGCTCATTAAAATACTCGTAGCACTTATTTATTTATTGCAAACAACACAAGACTGTTATTTGCCGTTTCAAAAGAATATTGATGTTTCTTTGTCTCATTTTATTTATTGCTTCGACATTCTCGCCACATTTTGGTAGTCCATTTGGCCGTTTAGTGTTTTACTGTAGTGATTAGTTCCCGTCTCTAATGTCTCGTTGGTAATATATTATACTATTGTTTGTCTGTGCAGAGCCGCCTGGGTAGTCCGCTGTGTAAGTTTTGTTTAATACGGAGTGGCGAAGGGTAGTTAAATTTCGTTAAAATATGTTTTTGTCTCATATAGTGATTTAAATTGTGAGAATAGAAAATGGTTTGACTTATGCCAAGTTGGATATTCAATTACCTGCAATATGTTGTAGTTTTACCGCAACATATATATTAAACAAGTGACTGCGACATGTTTATGCAATGTATTTAATAGTTATTCATATTAAAATACAATAATTTTGAAAATAAAACCATTTAAAAGTAGTTTTTTTTTAAAATATATTATTTTGATTCTGACATGACTAGGACATACGTTAAGAGTCTCGGCTGCATCTCGAATAGTTTGTACCCAGCAATCCGCATTGCGTTCATGTGGTTGGTTACGGTCCTTTTCCCCTAATGTCATTGTATCCTTACGGAAGTTGTATTTACATACATAACTATGAAATTTGGATTACTAACTTGATGACGCAAGCTTTAGGGTCCATTGAGAGGAGGAAGTCGTTGAGGCTGTGCTCGCAATTGGTGTACGCCATGCCAAAGCCGAGCCCACCACCAATGAACATAGGCCACCTGCGGTAACTGCGTAGGAAGAAGCTGCCCATCATGCTGCCGATTAACAATCCTACCGCTGAAACAGATAACAATATGCAGCTTATTATGCAGATAATTTATTACTAATTTATATACAAAAGTTAAGTTAAAGATTACTCATTTAATAAACGATGTATTGAGAAAATTAATTTGAAACAAGATTCAAAGCGGGTTCTTCTTAAGCTTAAATTTAAGTTTTTTTCAGCCCTCAACAAGACATATCTATTTAGAACAAAACTTATATTATAAATAGGAAAAACTGTATCTTTTGTTTATTTCTGTTTTTCTTTTGCACCGAATAGGCTCCTAAACTACTGGACCGACTTTCAAATTATTTTACCTACGGGAAGCTACATCATATGGGGTTGAAGTAGGAAAATGTGTATAAAGGTATTTAAATTTGCTTTGAATAGTTTGAGATTTTGCAGTTTCTATGTCCCGTAAGGACAAATGTCACAAAAAGGTACAAACATCAACATTATATCGCCCTACAATCCTTAAGGAATAATAATTTTATTTATTCAACAACTGCAAAGTGCGTATTTATAATATACACAGTTCTAATCTAATATTAAAAATGAGAAAAATTGTTTGTTAACTACTAGACCGATTATAAAAATACTTTCACCTATAAGAAGCTACATCATACGCGCTTGACGTTTGCTAATATTTACGCGAGCGAAGTCGCGGGAAAACAGCTTGTATAAAGTAACTCACTAGTTTTGACAGCGAAATCAACGAAGCAAGCGGCGTATCTCTCTTCGAAATCCCTCTTGTCTGGTTTACTCATAACTCTCCTAAGTGACAAATTGTTTTTCTGTTAAACAAAAATTACACATTGCCGTTTCTATGTTTACGATAGCAATAAATAAATGTATTGTTTGGCTTAACATAAAAAATTGGATGGGACAAATTTTGATCGGTTTTGAAGTTTGTGTGACATTTTGCGTCAAAGTTTTTAATCTTTTCTCGTGTTAGTGTATTGTATTGATTAGTAAAAGAGGTTGCGTTATCATTTATATTCTTTACATTCAGCGCTAAGTGACACTTGTCCCTTTAAAGCTAAGTCGCTAATTGCTGCTTGTATGTACACATACGTTGAGATTTTTTAAACTACACAGTGAAATTTGGAAGCTGTTTGTATCTAGGGCAAGGCAGCAATATTCATCTAATATTTTATTGAACTAATATTGCATTTGTACGCATAATGTTAATATAATGTGAGTAGTAAAATAAAAGGAAACAAATGTCCAACTCTTAAATATGTTCATCTGCTACCGGAATTAATAGATCCGATTATAATTTCAATAGCGATTTGAACTTAATGCTGATCTGATTGCTATGATTTAGGTAATTGTATTGGACACGATGTAATAGATTAGGTAATTATTATCATAGATTCTAGGAATTACGTGATGAACCAGCTTATGGCGTAGGTTATTATAAATTAGTGTAATCAATGTTGAACTTAACAGCTGATGTATTACGGCATACAATCGCCTGGAGAAATTTGACTTGACCTGACAAGTCTTGAAATTTGTCCTGTCGACAATCACTGTAGCGGAATGAATACTAAATGTCCAAGGATAGTCCAAAATTCTTTCACTAAATCATATACGGTTAACATAGGCTATGTAAATTCGTAACCTCCTACGCCTGTCATGTTATAGTTTGTAAGCTCTGATTTGAGCTTAAGTTGCTACTTGGAAATTGAAAGGAGTTAATGCATGAGTTGATAGCAAAAAAGTAAACCCGATAATAGTATAATAGAAAGAAATATTAGGTAAGATAACAGATTAATTAGCTTAAAGTTGGAGCTGGTAGTTTATGCCCGGTTAATATAGGCAATTAAATTTTGTAGTCTGGGCGTTGTGGTATCTGTTATTTCCAAATCCCATGAAACAAAGACTTCTGATAGTTAGTTTGTGATCTGAGCCAATTTATGTGATGCTGCGGGGTAATATTGCCTTAATTATTTGAAAGATTTTTGTAATATGAAGATGGGTTTGCGTGATTTTCAGACACAAATCAAATTCCCAAATAAAAGGTACCTATACTCCATTTATTATAGCATTAGACAGAATGAAAATAAGGTTCTTTATATGGTATACTTTGTAATAAAATGTCAACAATCATGTTACTCTTAAGACTAACGGATAATTTGCTACATATCCACTTAAATACCAGCTGCTATATTTAACCGTTGTCTTTTAAGCTATATATTAAACAAATTTATGAGTATTTGACTGACTTAAAACATTTAATAATTATTACAATAAAAAGTGTTCATCTTAAAGAACCGAAAGAAGCAGGGTTACTCTGTCACTATAACTCTACCAAATTTAAAACGTTGCCTAATCCCTTCAAACGTTTCGGCAGTACAGCTTTTTAATTTTGTCAGATTATGATTTATTCATAATAGTCAAAATAAGTAATCTGGGATTGTCATTAATTGTGAATTCTACTGCCTTTCTTGTTGTTTTGCCATTTTCGGTGATTGGGTAATTAATCACTGTTTTACTGCTGTTTTCTTATAGTTCTGTTTTAGTTGTTATCTTTTTGTTGTTAAGTTTTGCTAAATTGCGATTCCGGTGCAGGCCCGAGAGACCTACAACCAACCTACAACAATTACCTTTGAAATTTCAGCAAGTTTTTCCAATGTCTCAATCAATAGTCTAATAATATCTGAATAAATGTTATAACAGTAATAATAAAAATTTCATTTTGTTTACTTTTATTTTCTGGGCATAAATATAACTAAATTATATTCTAATGATATACACTTACAATTAGAATCAATCAAAACAACAGATAGATAGTTTAATTTCCATATTGGCTCTGAGTAAATAATGAATTTAGAAAATGCTATTATAAATATTTTGTAATTTTATCTTGTAAATAAAATGTTCTGCACTGCTGCTTCTGAGAGCCTCTTTTTCTAATGTTATAATGTATAGCAATCAAAGTTTAAAAAAACCAGATATATTTATTTATCTTCAAATTTGATGTTTAAAAGACTCATTTAAGCTTCAACAAATATAAAAAAAAACTTTAATAAGCTCAAACCATCACGTATGTAACGCATATGACACCAAATGATATCAATTGAAAAAATTTGCCTCCTGTGTGGGGTAGGTCTCATTTCGTGTTTTTTTTTTTTCTGCTCTCAGGAATGAAATGAAATATGAATAATTACCTCTTTAGGTTTATTATTAAGCTTTATGACTCTTGAAAGCATAGTGGTTGGCTCGTTCGATTTCTGACGACGAAGTAAATCACTACTTTCAACAAGGTCCGACGGATAAGAAACGTGGCAATAAATGTACTTTATCCTTCATGCTTTGGAAGTCACATTATTAGGCGTAAAGGCAATATTGACCAGATCAGAGAAATATTTCACAAGGTTTACGCTCTCGAGTTCACCGTCATGTCTTTGCCTGCTCATTTAATTTCAGATACATTACCATTATCTGTAATTCAAATTTGATATATTATTTTTCCTTAAATTTAAACGTATTTATGAGTTGTGAAGATTTCCACTTGATTAAGTATCTCTGAATTCAAAGATACTTATGGCTAAGCCTTGAACTAATAATCCGAAGATTGATTAATGAACTAGTCGGACCTAATGACTATTCTGGACGTGATCCCCAATATGCAAACAAAACACGTTCCATTTGAACCGAGTCAGCCTAATTGATCCATACTAAGCTTGCAATAGACAAAGAGTTTAAACTTGTTGTCCATTTCAATAGTATCTATGCTATAACATTATAGTTAGGTAATTTACCAAAAAAAACTTGATTTGTTGATACTACGTCTAATTGAAACTTTATTTGGAAAAAAAATTAAAAGCTATTTTTTTGAATATATTATAAAACATGTCCTTATTATATATTTTTTATAGTCTTTCATGTAGTTTAGACAGATGTACACTTTGGAATTGAAGTCTGCCATAACACGACTCTTGCCTCACATTGGGACAGAGGTCACGTTATGGAAATTCTCTGAAATTAGTGATTTGAAGTGTGCAGTTTTCCATAGGTTACAATATAACTTTTATGGTGGCCTTTTTATTAATCGCCTTTACGTTCCATAATTTATTTATTTATTATTGACAAAATTTAGCTAATTCAATTTATATCTCTTTGAAATATTGCAAGTAGACAGATTGCTTCATAATAAACAAGCTGCAACTCTAATCATTGCCAAACCAGGGCTGCCACAGTAATAATCCTATCTGCATGTCTTATCAAAGTGGTTTCCCAGTAACGAAGCAAAATTGACAACCTTGATTGATGTGGATCTCTACAAGGAGACGAAGTTTAATTGTTATATGCGAGGTATTGAGGGATTCCAGCTAAGCGATGAGGTTTACACTATTACATGTGATTTTAATTAAGCTTTAATTGATAAAAGTTATGTCAAAATTTCATATTTAATTTTATTTAAATAATCATTAAAAACTTTAAATTATTAATACAAAGTAAATTTATTGATATTAAATTTAAGAAAAAAACTTCAATTTTCAAAAGCAACATTCACAAGCAGGGTACATCTCATATCGTCACATCTAAAAGTAATAAGCTGATAGAAATGGCTTTTGTTTTTAAATACCACCCATTTTGGTTGTTAGATATTATCCTCTCAATAACAATGAACGAAAGAAAATCCATAACTCATTACAAAATACGTAAACGTTGACAAAATTAACTACTTACTTAATATTAAAGAGTAAAAAAATGAACTACTTTTGTCAGTTAACGAGATAAATACGAGTAGCTACTGCTTTTATAGATAAAGTTTCATTTCTAATTAAGCTTATAGTACACATATAGCACATTTAATGAAATTAAAAATATGCGCACCGGTGTCAAGTGTGGGGATCAAAATTAAAAATTCCTGATGCCCACTGAAGGGTTCAAACGCGGTTGATATACACATGACCAGAATTAAATAATACATATAATATATCAAATATTTCGCATTAAAGTGAAATTGGACGTAATGTTAGGTATCCACAAAACGTGAAAACATTTCATGGAATATTAAAATTTGAAGTAGATATGATTGTGTTATATTAATTGGCAATATTAACGAAAAACTGAATGATATAAAAAAAATCTTGTTATATTTAATGATAACTAATATTAACTTTATTGGAAATAATAGGTAAAAATAGACCTATCTATCTCTATCTGAGAGATGGGCAGAAAGAATTGAGCGCTATAAGGCACGGGCCTTACCTACGTCTTTCGCTTCTATGACATTCATGGCTCTCTTTATACATGCTCGTCGATTTTTATGGGTTCCTGGCATTATGAATTGAGAAACATGAAACAGGCAGTCGGTATTTGGAGAGTAAAAGATCGTATTCACAATGAAGTGGTTAAAAAGGATGTTTCGATATAAAGCGATAAATTTTATATTGAAAATGTGTCTAACCTCAACTATCCTCGTCTTGTAGTCTTGTGTCGTGTGTTTATTAGTTTAATTTTTATTCCGTCTGGCACTTTTACATTTAGTCCAAACCAATGTTCATCCATGCATTCTTCAGCCAGATTTTACCCCGACGCTATTATTAGTTGCTGCTCTCGTTATTACTTCTATATGTTACTCTAAGAATTGAATAGTTTAAAAGAATATATAATAATACTCAATAATAAATCCTCAATGCTTCATATTAGCATAAAGAAAAGTATTAACTACTTAATGCACTTTGATGTCATAGCCTGAAGGTTATTTCTACAGAATAACCTTTCTAAGTCTTCAACAAACCTCTTAATTCAGCTAAATACGTTTTGAAGATATCACAAACAGCTTTAGGCGTTCCTCACAATTAGCAAATCATACTTTTGAAGTAATGCTCATCTGCATAATACTAAATGACAATATTTTAAGTGAGGGGAGTTGACGCATCAATGTTGGACGTTGTTATTGTATTGTATTTGTAGTACTAAAATGCGAGGATGATTCATTAGTATGGTA